ATTTATGTGTGAATGTGAATCTGTGGAAAGATCTGACTTGTGCCTGGGATCCCGTATGCACTACTGCCCTGCTCGTGTTGCCTGGGACCTGTTTCTCTGGGGCCAATATAGAAAAAGAGACTTCCATGTTTGTGCCTGTGTTTCAAAGCGTAAAGATCTGCATGCTTAAGGGTTCAGATATGTGTGTCCTGTCTCTGAGTTGACCCTGGTGTCTCTGAGGAGCTGTGTGTAAGGAGATCTCAAACCTATAGGAACTTTGGAAGGTGTCCCACATGGGCTCACAGTGACCGCCACTGAAGCGCTGGATCCTCAGGAAAGACATTCCTATCAACACCACCTAATATCTAATTATTATATGCCAGAGGCCTTTCTGAGCTTTCTATATCTGCTAATTTAGCCATCACAAAAGCTTTAGGAACTTGGTTCTATTATTATCTCATCAAAGATGGCGCTAGTAAGTGACTGAGCTCCTGGTTGGATGCAGGTGGTTTTGACTCCAGGTCCTGTGACTTAATGTGCTTGTTCTCTCTTGCTCTGCTCACGTTTCCTCACCTCTGTCCTCACTGCTTCGCAGAAACTGACCGTGGCTGTCTTTCCCAGGTGGCCTGTTCAGATCCAACAACAAGAAGGAGCACTGGAATCCGTGTGAGCTTTACCGGGGAGGCAAGTGCAGAGACGCCTGCGGCCACGACGAAATTCAGTACCTCTCCTGCCTCCCCGACCTCAAGTGCTGCCTGAAAATCTCTACGTATTTAACCAATTCTGACTCCAGCTCCAGCTTGCCAGTTACAAACACGTCCAGCTCCGCTCCAAGTTGAAGATCAACCACGTCTCCCGCTTGTTGTAGTCATTCCTCCCCCATCCTGCAACCCCTGCCCATAAAAATGCATTCCCTTTCCCGTGTGTGTCTTTCATGGGGAGCAGTTAGGGCCGGACAGGAGAGGTTAGGCTGGGAGCTGGGAAGACACAGGAGAGGAAGGGGCCCTGTAGTACGGTGCAGTGATCTCCAGAGGAACCGAACGGGATGGATGCATAGAACTGACTGCAGGAATCTGTTGGGCAAATTAGGGTAAAACTTTCTGCTACAGCTGTCCAAAGTAGAATAAATGGGTTTTTACCCATTCACCCTGTGTTAAATTCTGGTTAAGTGTCAGGAATTGTGTGGGTATTTTTTCAGCAAAGAACCTGTATACACACCCGCACACCTGCATGAGTGACATGTCACTGTCAAGGTGGCTCTTCTTCTGTAGCTAATGTTGCATTTTCCGTCTCTTTGACTATGAACTTCTAGAACTGTTGTTCTTAAGTAAGGTCTCAAAGTTCTAGATTCCCAAGCTCGCCTCCGCTAAGAGAAACCTGGGTTTTGTGCTGATCACGCCATTGAAGTGGCCTTGGTCTCGTTTACCGTTGCCTCCCATGTTGAAAAATGTGAGCATTCTTTGCGTTTTTTTTTAATATTTATTTTTTAGTAGTAGTTGGACACAGTATCTTTATTTCACTTATTTATTTTTATGTGGTGCTGAGGATAGAACCCAGGGTCTTGCACGTGTGAGGCGAGCGCTCTACCGCTGAGCCACATCCCAAGCCCATTCTTTGCGTTTAACTTTGACTTTGCTACCATTTCTTGGTCCTTTCTTAAGTTCTTATCTGCCTTGACTTCTGGGTGCTCTTTCTTAGTTACTTTTAGAATTTATTCTGCCATCTGCTCCATGATATTTACAGTCGTTTCTCTCTCTCTCTCTCTCTCTCAGTTCCTCTCTCTCCCTTCCTCACCCTCACATTGCTCATTATTAGACAATGGACATTCCCAGTCCAAGCCAACGGATCAAAGGACGTGTACCAGAATACAAAGTTGCCTTTTATTTTGCATGTGGTTTAGCAATCTGGTGGTAAAGTTTAATTCTGTTTACATCTTTGAGACTCACTGACATTCAGACACACCGGGTGGGACAGAGGGTGAGGGCTTAGCAGAAGCTGGGTTTCAAGGCAGGACACAGAAATTTGCTAGCACAAGTCACATGATAAAAAGAAATATGATTTAATATTGGGAATAAGATATTGGTTCTGGGTTCTGCACAGCAGTCAGGAAAGATGACTGGAACTCCAGGTTTAAAGCACAAATTCCACTTCCCTGGTATCCACGTGTCAGACGAAGACCCGTGAATATGGAGTTGGAAGGATTCGTCCCTCTCCTGAATCACTGCCCAGCAGCTCTGCAATCTTGAGCAGAATCTGTCTTCCTCTATTCAGTCCAGATCACACCGTTGAGGTCCAGACTCAAGTATTGAATTACGTATTTATATATTCTCTGGGATGTCTTAGCCATCTCATACGCAAAATACCTCAACTGAACCCTAAATCTGTTCCCTCAGCCTTTTATCATCTTCTCTTCCCTAGTATTTAGCATCTACAGTTTGTCCCGTGGCTCAGTTCAGACACTTGGAAGTCACTCATGTCCCCCCAACTTATCTCAAGTCATCAAGGGAAAACCATCAAATGTGCTTTTAGCCCTTTCTCTTAAACTAATCTCAACTTAATGATGCACTTGGCATTTGTGTGATTAAAAATAGAGGACTCGCTCCAGAGAACATGAAAAATCTCAGCTGATTGTTTTATTCCCTCAAATGCACATTTTTGTTCCTTTAGGGACCTGCTGATGACATATTCTTAACAAATCATGGGATTCCCTTTTGAAAAAAAATACACCTTTGTGTATCTTCATTTTGAGGGCTATCAGAACTTGTACCAATTGGAGGTCTGCTATTTCATAAGGTCTGTCTTCTTCTCTCCAACGTAGCGTCACTTTTTCGTACTCAAGTTCACTTTCTCCATGCCTCATCCAACAGAAATCTTTTGTTTTTCCACCAGGGACTGAACCCAGGGGTGCTTCACCGCTGAGCCACATCTCCAGCCCTTTTTATGTTTTATTTGGAGAAAGGGTCTCACTAAGTTGCTCAGGATCTCGCTAAGTTACTGAGACTAGCCTTGAACTTGAGATTCTCCTGCCTTAACCTCCTGAGTTGCTGGGTCACAGGTGCCACCATGCATGGCTCAGTACCAATTCCACAGAGATTTGGGGGCATGTTAAGTCATATAAATCCTTTGATTTGGGTGTGTGAAGCACTGGAAATAAGTTGGTTCTCAGTTCCCGGCTGATGGGCATCTTCTCCTTCCTTCCTGAAAAACAGTTCTGCTAAATGGCAAATGTGTGTTCACAGAGTTTGAGTCTGATCAGTCTTGCGAAACGATTCGGCATAGTTTGTGAGAGGCTGGGAAGATGGAGGTGGAGTACAGGATGTGAACTGAGTTCACACATGGCTTTGCTTTCAGATCCTCTTCGTCGGCCACCTTCTGCTCCCCAGGGAGAGCCTGACCCCACCCTCGAGCTCAGCGACCCATTGCACCTCAGTAGAGATGAGTAACTGAGGCCCACCACCCACACCTGAGGAAAATCAGGTCACTTTTGTTGAGTCACACCCAACTCTCTGGCATCTTCAGTCAAATGGTCAAGGAAAACAAGTCACATCTGCTTGGCTTATTTTAGACTCCCGTGGTATCACCTGATAAGATTTGTAATTGGTGACCAGCGATAACCCCCCAACTAGTGGTATTATTTCCTGCTTTATCCTGAGGGTAGGATGTCCCCAAATATTTAAAAGAAAAATCTAGAAATCTACCTCTTGGGCCAGAAAGCAGTCATGATATTTGTGAGGGAAAAAAGGAGACTCACAAAGAAAATAAAAATTCTCTCTCTCCTTTGCAGGTACGCCTTCGAGAGACTGAAAAACAATAATGAACCTCAAAGGGAAACAAAGACTCTCGAAGCCTTTTCAGATACATGTAAAAGCCCGCTAGAAAGAGAGGGAGGGAGGGAGAGGGAGGTGGGAGAGCAAAAGGGATGAAGGGGAGAACAGAGAAAGAGAGAGACAGAGAAAGAAGGAAAACATTTGGTTTTGTTTTCACAATTGAAAACCAACCTGATCCCTGAGTTTGTATACCTCCAATTTTTTTTTAAATGGAGATTTTATAAAGTCTATTAAATTGCCTCAATATAAGAGTGAGTCCTAAAAGCATTCTTTCTAAAATTTCTTAGTGTATAAAAGAACACACCCTGGAAATAATGATAAATACAAACTATTCTACTTGGGTCAAATATACCAATGATATTTCACCAAATGAACTCTACTCTATAGAAATTAACCAGGCATTGTCTTGCACACTGGTAATTCCAGCTACGCGGGAGGTGGAGGCAGAAGGATTGCAAGTTCAAGGCCAGCTCCCGGAGACTTAGTGAGACCCTATCTCAAAATTAAAAGGTCTGAGGATGTAGCTCAGTGGTAGAGCATTTGCCTAGCTGTTCTAGGCTCTGGATTCAATCCCCGGCACAGAAAAAAAAAAAAAAAAAAAAAGCCTCTTCTGCTGACCAAAACATAAAATAGAACAGTAGAGAATTCTCCCCTCAGATTATATTTAGGATTAGAAATGGTAAGGAAATAAGAGGAATTTATTTTATTTTGACTGATTATTTATTATCTCTAACAAGCTCTAACATTAAATACTTGCAACATTAAGCAATTCTGTGTTAACATATCAGATAATCTTTATTCTATAGATAAAAGAATAAATCCCTTCATCTATCTTTATTTATACATCTTATTTATTTAAAGGGATTTATTCCTTTATCTATATAATAAAGCATCATCCCCAAATAAAAACATTAAATATGCATTCTAAGTTTTTAACTAAAATGATGTTTGGAAAGGGACCAGTCTAGCAAACAATTGCTAAGAAAAAGAACCCCAAATTTGAAAATAAGTAAAAAAAAAAAAAGATAGGTATCTTTTTAATAGAATGCTGGACAAATTCTAGCGATCTTCCTAGGATTATATTATTCCACTAGGGCTGCACACCTTTGAGCAATCTGACACTAGGCTATTTTGAAAGTTTCTAGAGGAAGATTAAAAGTTAAAAAACTGATGTCTTAAAAAAAATCTGAAGAGACGTGCAAACTGTCCCCATACTTAACGCTGCTCAGGGACCCGGTGGAATCAATGCCGTTGAATCCCCTCGTTTTCCATCTGGCAGGACAGTACCTTTGCATGTCCTTGCCCTTTGGGATGTCAAATAGGTTTACATCGGTTTGCAAATTGGCCCCAGAATCCTTTTGATCATTTATATCATCACTTCTCCTCTGAAAACCAGTCCAAATATCTTACTGGCTTCTTCATTATTCATGAGTTTAATGCAATCATTGCCGTTTGTTTATTTGATATTCGCATGTGTCACTTTTTTACATTAGCATCTTCATGTTATGATTTATACTTTATACTTCATCACAGTAAAGACATGGAACAACTAAAGCATAAAATGTGTAGAATTTATATTTTCTATCCGGTGACTTTTTTTGCGAGAAAAGTGGAGAAATGGCAAATATCTTAGTTTGAAATAAGATTATATAAACTGTTTTTAGGTGACTAGTGCTTTTCTTCACACCATAGACACAATGATAAATACAAGCTATTTATCATAATTTGGGCCTGTAAGATCATAATTTGGGCCTGAAACAAGCAAGTCACAGATTAAGAACCCCAGAAGTATTTGAACCTAAGATCAGGGTCCCCTCATAGGATGGGTCATTTTGCTATTAATACAGTCAGATCGATCCATCTTTTATTCAAGGGTAACACTTTCTGCATTTTGAAAAAGAAATATTTTCCTACAATAAGGACAGAAAAATATTAGCCTGTATCTTCTGAATATTTTAGGATGTCTTGTTCATCCTAACACCTGCTCTGCTCCCAGAAGCCTAGAAGACAGT